AGTGTGTTTTTGCAGGTGCAAAATTCTCTTGTCTTAAATCTGGAATTTTAATGCGAATACAATTAAGGAGTTTCTTAGTATGCAATCCTCCCCCCTCTTTTTGGGTTATATTCTATCTTGCATTGGCGTCCAATTAATGTTCTTGTTCCACTAGGGTAAGGCGAGTTCCATGGTTGCAGTTGCTCTTGGGCCTAAACCCGGATGGGAGGTAATTAATTACATGGAAAAAGCGTTATTAGGTGTTCTCTTGATTTTCATTTACCACTTGGTTGTTCATGATTGCTTATTTTCTTGTGAAGGTCATTGATGCATGTGCAGCACCAGGGAACAAAACTGTTCATCTTGCTGCTCTAATGAAGGGAAAAGGAAAGATAATAGCTTGTGAACTTAATAAAGAAAGGGTTAAACGTCTGAAAGACACTGTTAAACTGGCTGGAGCAACTAGTATCCTTTTAGCAGCTTTCTAGTATCCTGTCCATCTTACCGCATATGATTGCTGCGCAGCAAATTTGGCCATCACTTGATTTCTAGATGGACTACCTTAAGTGTATTGGAAGCCCTTAAAACTGTGTGCTTCTGTCCTTTTTAATTTTTTTGGTTTATATTATCCCCATCTTTAAATAATTCCCTAAAATCTCGCACTTATCTAGTCAAACTGGCTGAAGTTATTAGTTTTATATGGCTCTCAACTCTTAATACCATAAGCACCATTCTGCACTAGGTGTCTGAAGTTATTTTTGAGGAAAAATGACTTTTAACTTTATTTCGACATGGATTTGCTGTGATAATCATATATGGGAAGCATTTTGAAAGTCATGAATCTTTAGTTGTTTCAATTCCCACTTTCAAATAATTCCTAAAACCATTTAATTATATGATATTTTGTCTAATTGGGTTTTGTTTGTTTTCAACTTTGTATACCGTAATATGCCCCGATAACTTAACTCATCCTAAGACGTGAAAGTCAAGCATGACGACTTCTTAAACATGAGTTCTGAAGACCCAGCATACTCAAAGGTAAACATGCGAGACACTATTTTTTTGGGAATGAAGTGTTGTTGATTGTAAGATATCAACTTACCAAATGGCATCTTTTACTTTCTGTCCAGTTAATCAATCTATTATACTTGCAGCACTGGCATGAGGTAATAGGTTGGTGTAATACAAACATGAATTGACATATTAATCATTAAGAAAATCTGCAGTGTAGATTGTAAAGCATCTTATATATTATAGAGTTGATGGATGCTAGTTTCTAAAGTTTACTAATGTGATGTGACATCGCCCATATGAGAAGTATTTGTGACGATGAGCTCTTTTGTACTCCAAGAAGCAAGTTCAAATGGGACTAGAGCTGAAGGATCCTAAAGGAGTACCTAACCTAGTTGATAAAGGAGGAAGGAGAGCTCTGATATCTTTTGACACTTCTACGCATCTAAATTACACCGTATTTCCAGTTACCTATCAAGACGACTTAAAATAATTCCAAAAGTTTGTAAGCACATAGTCCTTTCCTTTTTTCTGTATCGGAGGATTCTCTGACAGAATAGTGAATAGACAACAGACAGGAGAGGAGGACAAGGTTTCCTCAGGTATGAGTTGGACATACTTTGACCAACATGATAAAGCCTTTGATTGTTCATTGTTAATTTGTCTAAAACACACTTAAAATATAGGCAGATGACTTTAGTGCGTTACACCAGAACAAGCAGCAAAACAGAAAAAAATCCTTCCTGTTTCTGGACAGTGTGGAAAAGGATATCAGTTAGTGCTTGTTATACAGTGATCTAGCCATCAAGATGGATATTTGATCTGGGGTAATGCTGGTTTTGCTCTAATTAATGTTCCTGCTGAGTGACGGTTTTACACATGCACAGAAAAAGTAAGGGTAAAACTGACAAAGTAGAAGTTTATATATATTTGGCAACCATGGTTTCAATTTTGTAACCCTCCGTTTTCTATTTGAAGTTTTTGAATGGAATTTTAGTAACACATAAACCTGACTCCAGGTTCAAGCAATACTTTTAGATCCATCATGTTCTGGATCTGGGACAGTTGTTGATAGATTAGATCATCTGCTCCCCTCATATACTGCAGGTGACTTTGCTCATCCTGTATTCATTTTTTATTTCTCTTTGTGTAACAAACCCTTCACTTTTCTCCTTTTTAACAATTTTTTCTGGAAAAGCTTTGCAGATTCCTCTGATGTAAATAGACTAGAAAAGCTGGCTGCTTTCCAGAAAAAGGCTTTGGAACATGCATTATCTTGTGAGATTTATACTGTTTTTTTTTTGGCTAAGTCCTTGTATGTCATATTTGTGCGACTGATGAATTTATCTTCTCATCTTAATGTAGTTCCAACTGTTGAGAGAATTGTTTACAGCACATGTTCTATTAACCAAGTTGAGAATGAAGATGTCATCAACTCTGTTCTGCCTCTTGCTTCTTCTTATGGTTTTGAACTGACGACAGTCTTTCCCCAATGGCCTCGCCGTGGTCATCCAGTTTTTGATGGATGTGAGTGATTTTCAGCTGAATGCTTTATCATCTCTCAAATATCATCATCTCCAAGTCTTAGTTTAAGTCATATCTCAAGAGCTTCCTTATAGGTGCCTACCTGACCCTAGTCCTCAGGATCAATCCCCTTCCAAAACTTGGTCAAAGTAGAAAAATAAAGAAAGTGCACAGTCGAAAAAAAGAATATTTATTACCTGTTACATTGTCAAAAAAAAGAAAAGAAAAAAGAATATTTATTCTTATGCTTTTCAAGCGTTCTGAGCATTCCTGGCATCAAATGTTTTTGTATTCAATTGCTAATAGTCTAAGCCAGATTTCATAGGTTAGCTGAAACTGTAGCAATTATATACTCTCAGAGGTGACATCTTTTATCTTCGGAAGCCCATCATGTCATTTAGCAGAAGATTAGACTATGTTATAGTACTTTCAATACACACGTCTTGTATACAGTATTTGCTTCTCACTAAAGGCAACAGGAAATCATGTAGGTATATGAGATTCCTAGATATATGTAATACCATTCCAAAGAACAACATCTCTTTTTCATTTAGAAACTAGCTTCCTGTTTTGGGCTGGTAAATTCTGGGTTTTCCTGCACGAAACTTGTCTTGAATGTCTAATTTAGCCCTTATTGTTCTTATTGCTACCTAGATATTGTGCAGTGTTGGAAACTGGACTCTTCGGGTGCGTGTTTATGTTTATTTTTTTATTTTTCTTATTTTTTCGCAGCTCAACATTTACTGAGAACGGACCTCATAGAGGACAAGGAGGGCTTTTTTATTGCTTTATTTGTTAGAAAGGGAGCGAGCACTCCAGCCAAGCACAGCAGAGATGTTGAAAACACTTTACGAGCCATTCAACGAAGGAAGAAAAGAAGAACAAATTCTTTCTTCCTCTTCAAAACTTTCGGTTTGTTCTTGCAGTCCTAGTTTATACTTCTTTCAAACAGGCAATTCTCAAATGATAAAATCCTAGAGACTACCAGAATTTTTGTCCAGAAATGTAGTTTTGTGCCGAAGTTTTGTTTTTCCATTTTCAGGTTTCTAATTGTGTACTGAACAGTTATATGGCAAAAACCTTACCTGCAATGGGTGTCTACACCTATCTGTAATTTTGTCGCGTAATCATTGAATGGATGATCAATGTACTAAATACTGGCGAATCTGAATTGATTGGACTTGGACATTTTCTCTTTAGATAGTATTGAGTTTTTATTTTCACATAATTAACTCAAACTAAAGCGGTCACAGAGATAAATTTTATATCGTAGTTTGAATTGTAATCTTTTGGCCATTGGGAGTCTTCTTTTGACCCTTACATTGAGTCCCCTTCTATACTATTCAGACTGAACGTAACCACTACGCATAAAAAAGGAAAATCATGTAAAAGAAAAAAATACCAAAAGCTTAAGTTCCTAGTGCTCTGTAGTTAACACCCTGCAGATTCTGCTTTCTATTTATGAATACTTTCTCATTAAAGTATGTAAGATCTTTTCACTCTCCACCTGGGTGTCAAAAAGGGATTATGAGATTGATCGTCCAGATATGAACGAGTAAAGTTTAACGTTGTCTAATTTGAGTACGTACATTTGGCTATAGCTTACTACACATTATTGTTTAACTTAACTTAACTTATACTAAGATGCTTTTATCCAAGCGAGGAAGGAAAAAGAAAGAAAACTAAAAGAATTAAATAGATTCAGGATATATTCCAACTTAATGACACAGTAATTATTTTTTTAGCAATCTGATTATAAAACTCATTAGAAAAAAATGACAAAGAAGAAAGTCATTTAGCGTTGCAAAACTAGCACCAATTGCATAAGATAGTGTAAAGATTCATTACACCTTTAACCTATAGAAATTAAGCTTTTTTTAAAATGAAAAATTATGAATGACAAGGACAATATTTCTGCTTTAGTTATAAATGAATTAATGTTACTATTCGATCAAAGTTGCACCGGGGAGAAAAGCCATTTTTTGTTTAAAGAAAAAGTAATTGCATTTATGAAATTGGAGGAAACAGGCAGATATGGTTCCTCATGTTGCATTCATAATACGTCAAAAAACATGGAAAACATAAAAAAGAGTAAAAGAATGGTGTTCCTAGTCCTGGATCTAAACTACAACAACAACAACAACAACTATCAAGTAAAATCCCACAAAGTGGTGTTTGGGTAGGGTAATGTGTACGCGGACCTTACCCCTACCCCGATAGGACAGAGAGGCTGTTTTCCATAGACCCTCGGCTCAGAAAGACGGAAATAAAAAATAAGAAAAGACATCATTAGTAACTCCAGTAGAAACCGTAATAGTAACAGAAACATAACAACCAAAAGATAAATGACACGCAATAACAGTAACCACTATCTATGGCCCGGGGCAAGTCCTGGATCTAAACTATTTTCATTATATGACACCATCAGTCATCAAACAGATGCACTCGCAATTCCCATGTCAAGGAAACAGACTATCGATTCCATGTCATGCAAATTTAACTTCAACAGTCTTGCGTTTCTTTAGCCGAGGAGGAAGCAACTTCTCAACAGTCACAGTCAGAATCCCATCTTGACAAACAGCAGAAATTGCATCAGTATTAATATTCTCCGGCAGTATAAACTTCCTCATGAACTTCCCAACCCTTCTCTCCATTTTAATATACTTTCCCCCTTCTTTCTCTTCTTCCCTCTTCCTTTGTCCACTTATCAGCAGCACATTGTCATTTTCCACCTGCTCCTTTATATCTCCAGATTTCATACCGGGCATATCCACAATTAAAACATAGGAATTTGGGTACTCTTTCATGTCTGCTGGTGTTGTAGCTATGGCCTTAGCGTCACATGCACAGTGTGGGACCCATTTAAATAAAATAAAAAATAAAAAGAAAATGAAGAAAACAAGTTGAATGGCGTCTGACAATGTTGTGCAATTTGCAAAGGAGCAAATCTGATTTTTGGTAACCAAATCCATGGCATAACCAAAACAGACTTGCAAACAGATTTGCAAGTTGCAAAACCAACCATTGTGATTGGTTTGATTTGCGGCAAGTTTTGCTATAAATAGCAGGCCTCGTTCCTCATTTCAGACACACCAAATCAGAAAGAGCGAAATAGAGCGTAGAGAGAGTAATCCACAGATTGTAGTCTGTGAGATAAATAGTGAGTGAGAGTAATATTGTAGTGAGGTGTTTAAAATAAAGAGTGTTATTTCTTTCGAAGTTGTAGTAGTCTCTTGACACTACCATGCTATTGTTATACTCCCCACAGAGCGAGAGAGGGTGCGGAGGTTTATTGATGGATTGATTCAGCCGATCCGTCTCCAGATGGCTATGGGAGCTGGTAGTGAGATTTCTTTTCAGGAGGCGGCCAATGCAGCCCGCAGAGTTGAGATGGCCCTTGCACGGGGAGGTGGTCAGGTGTTGGATAAGAGGCCTCGTCATTCTGGTAGGTTCAGTGGTACCTCGTCTGGAGGTACGGATTCTTATGGTAGAGGCCATTCACCGAGACCCTTTCAGTCAGCACTCCAGGTTTCTCATGGTACTCCAGGCGGTGGTGGTTCTCAGCAGCATTATTCTGATCAACAACCCATCAGTGCACCGCCACTTCAGAGCTTCCGGGGAGGACATTCAGGTCGACAGGGCCAGCAGTCTCAGTAGCCGAGGGCTTGTTATGGTTGTGGTGACCCGAGTCACATTGTCAGATTTTGCCCTCGAGCCTCGGGTAGTTCTCAGCAGCAGGGTCCTCGCCCCATGATTCAGGCACCAGGTGATCCACAGCTTGCCCAGCCAGCTAGAGGCGGGGGTAGGGATCATAGAGGTGGAGGTAGAGACCGTAGAGGTGGAGCTCGGACCGGCAGAGGTAGGGGTCAGCCAGTAGCAGATCGTCCCAGAGACATGGTTCAGGGAGGTGGGGCCCAGCCCCGGTGTTATGCTTTGCCAGCCAGACCAGAGGCTGAGTCTTCAGATGCTGTTATTACAGGTACTGTTCTGGTCTGTGATAGGGATGCTTCAGTGCTATTTGACCCTGGGTCTACGTATTCATATGTGTCGTCCTATTTTGCACCCTACCTGGCTATGCCTATTGATGCTTTGGGTATTCCTATTTATGTATCTACACCGGTGGGTGATTCTATAGTGGTCGACCGAGTTCATCGTTCCTGTGTGGTAGTGTTTGAGGGTCTTGAGACCCGTGTTGATTTATTACTCTTAGACATGGTGGATTTCGACGTTATATTAGGGATGGATTGATTGTCCCCGTATCATGCTATCTTGGATTGTCACGCCAAGACCGTGACCTTGGCTTTGCCAGATTTGTCCCGATTGGAGTGGAGAGGGACCCCAGGACATGCCACCCGCAGTGTTATTTCATATGTGAAGGCTCAACGTATGGTCGAGAAGGGGTGTCTAGCTTATCTGGCGTATGTTCGCGATTCCAGCACAGAGGTTCCTTCTATTGATTCTGTTCCTATTGTTCGGGAGTTCCCCGAGGTTTTCCCTTTAGACCTGCCGGGTATGCCGCCCAATAGGGATATTGATTTCTGTATTGATCTGGCCCCAGGCACGCAGCCCATTTCTATTCCGCCGTATCGCATGGCCCCGCCAGAGTTGAAGGAGTTAAAGGACCAGTTGCAAGATTTGCTAGAGAAGGGTTTTATCAGGCCTAGTGTTTCTCCTTGGGGTGCACCAGTGTTGTTTGTGAAGAAAAGGATGGATCGATGAGGATGTGCATTGATTACCGGCAATTGAACAAAGTGACGATAAAGAACAAGTATCCACTACCAAGGATTGATGATTTGTTTGACCAGCTTCAGGGTGCGAAGGTGTTTTGAAAGATAGACTTGAGATCTGGCTACCATCAGCTGAGGATCAGGGCGTCGGATGTCCCTAAGACAGCATTCCGCACTCGGTATGGGCATTGTGAGTTTTTGGTCATGTCATTTGGGTTGACCAATGCCCCAACAGCATTTATGGAGTTGATGAACCGAGTGTTCAGACCTTACTTGGACCTGTTCGTGATAGTCTTTATTGATGATATTCTGGTGTACTCCCGCAGCCAGGAGGAGCACGAGCAGCACCTCAGAGTCGTTCTTCAAACTCTGAAGGATAGTCAGTTATATGCTAAGTTCTCGAAGTGCGAGTTCTGGTTGAGTTCGATTGCATTTCTGGGTCATGTTGTATCAGCAGAGGGTATTCAGGTGGACCCGAAGAAGATTGAGGCAGTCAAGAACTGGCCTCGACCAGCATCAGCTACTGAGATTCGGAGTTTCTTAGGGTTAGCAGGTTATTATCGCCGGTTCGTGGAGGGGTTTTCATCCATAGCAGCCCCGATGACCAGATTGACCCAGAAGGGTGCCCAGTTCAGGTGGTCAGACGAGTGTGAGGAGAGCTTTCAGAAGCTCAAGACAGCTTTGACTACGGCACCGAATTGGTTTTGCCCACAGGCTCAGGGCCTTGTACAGTTTATTGTGATGCTTCCCGTATTGGGCTTGGTGGGGTATTGATGCAGGACGACAGAGTCATTGCTTATGCTTCGAGGCAATTGAAGATCCACGAGAAGAATTATTCGGTCCATGATCTAGAGTTGGCAGCCATTGTTCATGCTTTGAAGATTTGGAGGCATTACTTATATGGTGTGACGTGTGAGGTGTACACTGATCACAAGAGTCTGCAATACTTGTTCAAGTAGAAGGAGTTGAACTTGAGGCAGCGGAGGGTTGGAGCTATTGAAGGATTATGATGTTACCATTTTGTACCACCCGGGGAGAGCCAATGTGGTGGCCGATGCATTGAGTAGGAAGTCCACCAGTATGGGTAGTCTTGCTTATATCCCGGTCAGCCAGAGACCGCTTGCTTTGGATATTCAGGCCTTGGCCAATCGGTTTGTGAGGTTGGACATTTCGGAGCCTAGTAGAGTGTTAGCTTGCACAGTCGCTTGTTCTTCATTATTGGAGCGTATCCGTGATCGGCAGTTTGATGATCCCCATTTATGTGCTCTGAGAGACACGGTGCAGCGTGGAGGTGCCACGAAGGTGACCTTAGATGATGATGGTGTTTTGAGGTTGCAGGGGCGAGTCTGTGTGCCCAATGTCGATGGTGGGGAAATCCGGGTCGTGACACAAGATGTGTGGGAAATCGTAGATAGAGGGTATGCAAAACCCGATAATGAGGAAGCTCTGCCTCAAAATGAAAAAGATGTCTTGGCAAAGACAAGGAAGAAGGATCAACAAGCCCTCACGCTCATCCACCAATGTTTGGATGATGCCATGTTTGAGAAGGTGGCAGATGCTACCACCTCAAAGGAAGCTTGGGAGATTTTACAAAATTCTCTTCAAGGAGTTGACAAGGTGAGAAAGGTAAAACTTCAAACTCTAAGGGCTGATTTTGAACTTTTAAAAATGAAAGAATCCGAATGCATTTCGGATTATTGTTCAAAAGTGAAGGCTGTTGTGAATCAATTTAGAAGATACGGGGAGGACATAAAAGATGTCCGTGTGGTAGAAAAGATCCTTCGCACTTTAACACCTAAATTCGATTTTGTGGTCTGTGCTATTGAAGAGTCTAAAGATTTAGACTCAATGATGGTGGAGCAATTAGAGGGTTCTTTACAGGCCCATGAAGAAAAGATCAAGAGGAGACAAGAAGTGTCATTGGAGCAACTTCTTAAAACTCAGGCATCCTTCAAGGATTATGGAGGTGAAAAAAGCTATCGAGGGAATGGACGAGGACGAGGCCGTGGCGGTCATGGACGAGGAAGAAGTAACGGTAACAACTTCAACAATGAAGCTAAAATCCACCAAACATTCAGAGGTCGTGGTCATGGACATAGAGGAGGAAGAGGACGTGGATACTATCAAGAAAATAATGGACAAAGGTATGACAAATCAAAACTTGAGTGCTATAATTGTCATAAATTTGGCCATTACTCTTGGAAATGTCGCAGCAATGTTGAAGAGAAAGCTAACCTTGTTGACGACAAGAAAGAAGAAGATGAGTCAACGTTATTGCTGGCACTCAAGGAAGAAGACAGGGATGATTGCAGCTCGTGGTATTTGGACAATGGAGCAAGCAATCATATGTGTGGATGCAAAGAAAAGTTTGTGGAGATCAATAAAATGGTGAGAGGTAATGTGTCCTTTGGAGATACCTCAAAGATTCAAATCGAAGGGATATGTACGATTCTGATCTCCTGTAAAGATGGTAGTCACAAGCTAATTCAAGATGTTTATTATGTGCCAAAATTAAAAGGCAATATTTTGAGTTTGGGCCAACTTCTTGAAAAGGAATATGATATCCACATGAAAAATATGCATCTTTGGCTTAGAGATTCAAGTGGAATTCTAATTGCTAAAGTGCATATGGCAAAGAATAGATTATTTTCTCTGAATCTTAAAACAATTGATGCAAAGTGTTTGAAGGCTAATGTGCAAGATGAATCATGGTGTTGGCACATGCGATTTGGGCACTTGAATTTTGAAGCGCTCAAAACAATGGGAGAAACGAACATGGTGCATGGGATACCATCAATCAACCATCCCAATCAATTATGTGAAGCTTGTCTTCTAGGAAAACATGCAAGGAGGAGTTTTCCAAAGGAGGCCATGTCAAGATCAACCAAGCCGCTCCAGCTTGTTCACACTGATGTGTGTGGACCAATCAATCCACCTTCTTTTGGTAAAAGTAGATACTTTCTGCTTTTCATTGATGACTTTAGTAGAAAGACTTGTTTATTCCTTGAACCAAAAATCTGAAGCTTTTGCTGCTTTTAAAAATTTCAAAGTACTTGTGGAGAAAGAAAATGGCTATGAAATTAAAGCTCTAAGGTCTGATAGAGGAGACGAATTCACTTCAAACGAATTTAATGACTTTTGTCAGTCTCATGGAATTCGTCGCCCTCTAACGGTACCTTATTCACCCCAACAAAATGGAGTTGCAGAGAGAAAGAATCGAACGATTCTTAATATGGCTCGATGTATGTTGAAAGCTAAAAGTATGCCCAAGGAATTTTGGGCCGAAGCTGTTTCTTGTGCAGTTTATTTGAACAATAGATCTCCAACAAGAAATGTTAGAGATCAAACCCCTCAAGAAGCATGGAGTGGAAGAAAGCCAAGTGTTAAACATTTGAGAATCTTTGGGAGCATAGCATATGCTCATGTGCCACATCAAGGGAGAGCAAAGCTTGACGATCGAAGTGTCAAGCATGTGTTTGTTGGCTATGATACGAGTTCAAAAGGCTACAAGTTATACAACCCAAGCAGCGGTAAGGTGGTGGTAAGTCGCGATGTTGAATTTGATGAAGAATTGGCATGGGATTGGGAAGCTCAGAAGAAACTTCATATGATTTTCTTCCATATTTTGGTGATGAAGAAGAACCAGAGACCGTGGAACCTGTGCAGGATACAACTCCACCTCCTTCTCCAACCAATGTTGCATCTCCCTCTTCTCAAGAAAGTTCAAATGAACAACCGCAAAGGACAAGGAGTATTCAAGAGCTCTATGAGGACACAGAAGAAGTTACTAATTTTGATTTTTTATGTTGTCTCTTTGCTGACAGTGAACCAATGAAATTTGATGAAGTTGTTAGAAACAAAAAGTGGAGACAAGCCATGGAGGAGGAGATTGAGTCAATAGAGAAGAACAACACTTGGGAGTTAACAACTCTTCCCAAGGGTCATCGAGCAATTGGAGTGAAATGGGTATACAAAATAAAGAAGAATGCTAATGGAGATGTGGAGAAATACAAGGCACGACTTGTGGCTAAAGGCTACAAGCAAAGGCAAGGCATTGACTATGAAGAAGTCTATGCACCTATTGCCCGCATGGAGACAATTCGTTTGCTGATCTCTTTGGCGGCGCAAATGAAGTGGAAGATCCATCAACTAGATGTCAAGTCAGCCTTCTTGAATGGCTATCTTGAAGAAGAAGTCTATGTTGAACAACCATTGGGCTTCGTGGTCAAAAACCATAAAGATAAAGTGTTGCGGTTGAAGAAAGCTTTATATGGATTAAAGCAAGCCCCACGAGCATGGAATAGTTGCATCGACAAGTATTTTCAAGACAATGAGTTTACTCGTTGTCTCCATGAATATGCTCTTTACCTTAAAGTTCATACTAATGGAGATATCTTGCTTGTTTGTCTTTATGTTGATGATCTTATTTTCACGGGCAATAACCCAAGTTTGTTTGAAGCTTTTAAGAAAGATATGTCCCGTGAGTTTGAGATGACAGACGTAGGGCTCATGTCATACTACTTGGGCCTAGAAGTGAAGCAGATGGAGGATGGAATTTTTATCTCTCAAGAAAGCTATACAAAAGAGATATTGAAGAAGTTCAACATGCTCGATTGCAACCCCGTGAACACACCGATGGAGAGTGGGACAAAATTGTCCAAGTTTGATGAAGGAGAAAAGGTGGATCCCACATTTTTCAAAAGTCTTGTGGGAAGTTTGAGGTACTTGACTTGTACCAGGCCAGATATACTATTTGCAGTTGGAGTAGTAAGCCGCTTCATGGAAGCTCCTACCTCCACTCATTTGAAAGTCACTAGAAGAATTCTTCGTACCTAAAAGGTACGACTGACTTTGGGTTATTTTATTCTTCTTCTAATGATTTCAAACTTATGGAATTTTGTGATAAAGATTATGCCGGAGATATTGATGATAGAAAAAGTACAACCGGTTTTGTATTTTTCTTGGGTGATTCTATTATTCCTTGGAGTTCAAAGAAACAACCAATTGTTACTCTGTCGACTTCTGAAGCTGAATATATAGCAGCAACATCTTGTACCTGTCATGCTATTTGGTTGAGAAGATTATTGAAGGAGCTCAATTTGCCACAAATTGAAGCTACGGAGATTTGTATTGACAACAAATCCGCACAGGCACTCGCGAAGAATCCAGTGTATCATGATCGAAGCAAGCATATTGATACAAGGTATCACTTCATCAGAGAATGCATTGCCAAGAATGAAGTCGAGCTCAAATATGTGAAGTTTCATGATCAAGTTGCAGATATCTTCAAAAAGCCTCTCAAGTTTGAAGATTTCCAGCGATTGAGATCAAGACTTGGAATGAAGAAGAAAAATCCAAAATTAAGGGAGAGATTTATGGGACCCATTTAAATAAAATAAAAAAAAAGAAAATGAAGAAAACAAGTTGAATGGCGTCTGATAATGTTGTGCAATTTGCAAAAGAGCAAATCTGATTTTTGGTAACCAAATCCATGGCATAACCAAAACAGACTTGCAAACAGATTTGCAAGTTGCAAAACCAACCATTGTGATTGGTTTGATTTGCGGCAAGTTTTGCTATAAATAGCAGGCCTCGTTCCTCATTTCAGACACACCAAATCAGAAAGAGCGCAATAGAGCGTAGAGAGAGTAATCCATAAATTGTAGTCTATGAGATAAATAGTGAGTGAGAGTAATATTGTAGTGAAGTGTTTAAAATAAAGAGTGTTATTTCTTTCGAAGTTGTAGTAGTCTCTTGACACTACTAAGCTGTAATATTATAGTGGTAATATTGCTCTGCTCGGGTATTGTATTTTACCCCGTTAAAATATTTGGTGTTGTTGTTACTCTCTTGTGTTATTGTTATTTACCGTGGGTATTATTCCTGGGCGGGATATTATTTTTTTATTCCCAACACACAGCCTCTTGCTGGGGCATTGATGGACTGGTCTGAGTCATCACAGGCGGCATCCATGAGGTGCTGGAGAGTGTGGAAGAGCGGCAATCCATAATGCAAGAGAAGTTTTGCAACATCAATTGAGGCTTCCGAATGCGTTCGTTGCTCACTTTTTAACTTCTCGGATTGCTTGTCAAAAGCATCTTGGATTGATTGATGATGATTTGACAAACCTAGCATCTTATTGAAACATTTATGATGGACACTATTAGCCTCGCCAGCATGCAAACGCAATCTTTCAAGAGCTTTATTCCAAGCCCTAAAACCATTTTTCGAAAAAACTTCACCCGCACTTCCATGAATGAACTTATGTTTGAACAAATAATAACATAGACAATATGCAGCATCTTTCTTCACACTATACTCCAACCATCCAGAAAATGGACCTTCAGACCAACTTGAATTAAATTGGCGCATTTTATTTCCAATTTTAGTTTTAGGAAATTGATGCTTGGAAGGTTGACAAGGACCTTTCTGAATGTAGTGTTTTCTCACTTCTTCTCGTATTCGAGGGCTATAGTTAACAAGGGTCATTCTCTCTCCTGGATCATCTTTAAGTGATCATCTATAAGATGGGAAAGATTGGCACTCGTACGAATTTCTGGAGCTATCGTCGTACTCAGGGATGGACAACTAAAACTAGAACTTGGTTGAGAATGATCCAACTTCTTGAGAAATATATCCATCACAGTTTACAAGAATTACGAACACTCCCTACAATACAAAAGTTCAATCCAACTCAATTTAGTAATTTGGTATAAGCCCAGAACTAAAATATTGGAGTATGTATTTCGTACAAGAAAAAAGGGCTTGCTATAGATGCATAATTCGATACTCAAGGCAAAGACCTATAATAATAAGCACTCTTGAACATTGAAACAGAATCAATTTTTTTTTATAAGTAAAAGTTAAATGTTACTCCATAAATTAACATGAGTACAGACATTACCAACTAAGAATTCTGTAAAACTGGAAGGATTCCAGAAACTCTAAAGGATTACATCAGTATCACTCCCAAAATCAGAACTAAACCAGGTTTTCAATTTTCCTTCTACAGAAAAGAAATGAATCTCCCATTCTAGAATGATTAAAACAGCAACTTACTGAATTTATATTTTCTAGGTCTGCAAAAAGATTTACTAGAGCTGTTCTTCTAGAAAAAAATAAAATTAGTTGTCCGTCATCTATTGAAAAATGATACTGAATATAAGCTAGAAGCAGAATAGTGCAGAGTTAAAATGGGACCAGAAATGTAAAAACAAGAGAAATGTAATAGGGCTAGCTTGATGATTTCAGAGAGAGACTCACAATTACGGAGCCAGCCAGTCACTGATGCCAGAAATAGAATTTCTCCCAGCGGCACTAGCGGCGGCGGAGGGTGGCGCAGCGCAGCTCTTAATCTATATCTTTGATTGCGCAGCTCTTAATCTATATCTTTGATTTAGATTATGTTCCTTTGGTTGTCTTACTGTTCTACTCGTTATAACAAATGTTATAAAATAAAGGTTGTAAAAGTAAAGATAAGGATACAGAGATTGATATATTAAAAAACTAATGTATATAATGAATCGAAATTTCTTCTATTTAAAGAAAAAAAGTAAGTTGTTGTATAAGCTGCTATGGTAAGCTATCACGTAAGTTGCTCCTACAAGCTGGTGTGTACTCTGCTTGTAAGTTGCTACTGCAAGATGTAGTATAAGCTGCTTCTAGGCTCCTACAACAAGCTGCTGTGTAAACTTCTTGTAAGTTGTTATTGTACCGGCTATACATATTCTTTTACGGGAGTAATATTTATTCACAACGGAGTACCGAAATGATAAGCTTCTTCAGGAGGCTTATTCCAATAGAATACTAAATAGATAAACATATTTACGGTAGAGTCTGTCACGACCCGGATTTTCCACCCTCGTGAGTCGTGATAGAGCCTACTCGTAGAAGCTAGGCAAGCCAAATTTTTATTACTTTCCGTTTACAACATAATCCTTTTTAACAATTCATGGCAACAATATAAAAACAATGAAATTAAATAGTAGCGGAAGTCTTAATTATAGAAACTGAATCAAAATGCGGAATAGTCAATATAAGCCTCTACCCAAGACTGGTGTCACAATACTCACGAACTGCTAAGAAATACTAAACACAAACGTCTGAAAGAAAACATAAGCTGTTTGCCTCGAATACAATGAGGCAACAGGCTAAAAAGAGAGAATAAGGGAGACGCCGGGCTGCGGACGCCTGCAAGGCTACCTCGGGTCTCACCGGACTGAAGGCCTGCTCCCGTACTAATGCTGCTGCTGCTGCTGCTCGAAACCTGGACCTGTGCAAATAGCACAGAGTGTAGTATCAGCACAACCGACCCCATGTGCTGGTAAGTGTCTAGCCTAACCCCGGCGAAGTAGTGACGAGGCTAGGTTGGACTACCACATAAACCTGTACAATTATATATATATATATATATATATATATATATATATATATTCAGCGGAATTGAAAATACAAGACAAGTAAACAATATGGGAGGGGGAGCATGCTGTGGNACAAGTAAACAATATAGGGGCGGGGGGGGGGGACATGCTGTGGGGAGATAACAGTATTAATAGTAAATCCAGAATAACAATCTAAGGGCAGCTTGGAATTTACAGCGGACAAGAAACCAATACCCAAAATAAACACACTTGTATCAATAATTGTTGCGGCACGCAACCCGATCCCAATATTTAACAACACTATTTCGGCGTATAACCCGATCCATAAATATCATTGTTGCGGCGTGCAACCCGATCCATATCATTTAACATTATTGCGGCGCGCAACCCGATCCACAAATATCATTCAATGCACGGCATCACCCTTCGTGCTTTAACACTCTTCCTCACCCAATCAACAATCGCAAACAAGGGCAAGGGAAAATAATACAACAAGAATAGAAGTCCCGGCAAGGGTACACAACAACAATTTAAAGACCCGAGAAGGGTACAACATCAATAACCAACAACATCCCGGCAGGGGAATAAATCATTAACTCTTTTCTTTCTTTCACTTTCATCTCATAGTTCACATTATCACTTGAGCCAATGCTCCAAAGAGTCACTTATCTCATATACCTTCACAATTTGTATTTCAACCCGAGCCAATGCTCCACGAAGTTTCAAGATCACAATTTCTTTCACAAGGTCTTTACAACATATAGAAGTCATCAATTAAACATGGAAAGCATATCAACAACCAAACTATTCGCAAAGTAGGGACTCACGGTCATACTAGACACCAATGTATAGATACTCGTCACCATGCCTATACATCGTACTCGATCAATTAGCAAGTAGCAAACAAGACTCAACTCCTATTCCCTCAAGCTAGGGTTAAACCAAACACTTACCTCGATGCCTTGAATTCCACTCAAACCTCAACTATCGCTTTACCCCGTGATTCCACCTCCAATCCGCTCGAATCTAGTCACAAATTACTCAATACTTTAATAAACGCTAAATGAATCAATTTGAATGCATAAAAATGAATTTCCCAAGTTTTTCCCAAAAATTCCAAAATCGCCCCTGGGCCCACGTGGTCAAAACCCGAGGTTCGAACCAAAACCCGGTTACCCATTCCCCCACGAACTCAAATATGTAATTTGTTTTGCATTCGGACCTCAAATTGAGGTCCAAATCCCCAATTCTTAGAAAACCTAGGTTCTACCCAAAACCCCCAATTTCACCCATGAAAACCATTGATTTTAAGTTGAAAACATGTTAAATGATGTTAAAGATTGAAATAAATGAGTAAAAACCAACTTACAGATGATTTGGAAGAAGTCTTGTTCTTGGAAAATCGCCCAAAGAGTTGTATTTTGAAAGTGGGGTGAAAAATGACTTAAAATTCGACTAAGTATGAAATATACTGGGCTGCAGTTATCGCAATTGTGAACTGCGAACCCCGACCAAATTATGGGAATTGCGAACTCAGCCCTATCAGGGGACCTTCGCATTTGCGAAAAAGGTCTCGTATTTGCGAACCCTGGACCTTCGCATTTGCGAAGAATAATTTCGCATTTGCGATCATTGTCAGGCCTGGGCTGGTTTCGCATTTGCGAACCAGGCTTCGCATTTGCGAGAGCTGGACCTTCGCATTTGCGAATACTGGCTTCGCAAATGCGAAGCCTGCAGATTAGAGATACCAGATCTTTTCAAAAATGCAAAAATACAATCCAACACCTATCCAAAACTCACCCGAGCCCTCGGGGCTCAAAACCAAATATGCGCACAACCTCAATAATATCCTACGAACTTACTCGTGCGATCAAATCGCCAAAATAACATCAAAAACAACGAATCAACCTCAAAATCACAAATTTTTCCTCAAACCTCATAAACTTTCAAATTAAGAGTTTTAAGTGCAAAACACATCAAACGACGTCTGATTTCAACCAAACTTTACAGAAAGCGCTTAAACCATATATAAGACTTGTACCGGGCGCCGGAACCAAAATACGGGCCCGATACCACAGTCTTTTAATCAAATTTCATTTTCATTTTCCTTAATCATTTCCAGAAAACAATTTCACACAAAAATTTATTTCTCGGGCTTGGGACCTCGGAATTTGATTCCGGGCATACGCCAAGTCCCATATTTTCCTACGGACCCTCCGGGACCGTGAATTTACGGGTCCGGGTCCGTTTGCCCAAACTGTTGACCGAAGTCAAATTTAATCAATTTAATATAAAAAATTTAGCATTTTTCTCACAGAATTCATATTTAAGCTTTCCGGCTACGCGCCCGGACTATGCACGCAAATCGAGGCAACCCTAAATGAGTTTTCAAGGCCTCGGAAGCACGGAATGAGTAAGAAAATAGGTGATGACCCTTTGGGTCGTCACATTCTCCACCTCTAAAACAACCGTTCGTCCTCGAACGGACAAAAGAAAGAAGTACCTGAGTCGGGGAAAAGATGAGGATAATGACTGCGCATGTCGGACTTGGACTCCCAAGTCGATGCCTCAGGGGGCTGACCTCTCCACTAAACACGAACAGAGGAAAAACTCTTGGATCTCAACTGACGAACCTGCCGGTCTAGAATAGCTACCGGCTCCTCCTCATAAGACAAGTCCTGGTCCTACTCGATAGTGCTGAAATCTAACACGTGGGCTGGATTGCCGTCATACCTCCGAAGCATAGATACATGGAAAACTGGATGCACGGCTGATAAGCTAGGTGGCAATGCAAGTCTATAAGCCACCTCTCCCACTCGATCAAGGATCTCAAATGGACCAATGAATCTAGGGCTAAGCTTTCCCTTCTTCCCAAACCTCATCACGCCCTTCATAGGCGACACTCGGAGCAATACTCGCTCGCCAACCATGAAAGCTACATCTTGAACCTTACGATCTGCATAGCTCTTTTGCCTAGATTGAGCTGAACGA